GGACCGGAGAACAAAAAGACGGAGGGAAAGGAGAAGCGGATGATTAAAGCAAATCCCAACGTCTCAAGCCATGATTTGGCTAAAAGGATCGGCATGTCGCAGAGCTACGTCCAGAATGCAAAGAAGAGAGCTGGACTACATACATACAAGGTACAGAACTTCCCAAACCGCGATGAGCGGCAACAATCGACGGCTAAAACTCGGGCACGGAAGCTCTACGGGAAGATGCTGACAAAATATGGCTGCTGTGCGATGGACGACGAAACGTATATAAAAGCCGATTTTAAGCAAATTCCGGGGTTGGAGTTTTTCACCGGCAAGAGCAAGTTCGATGTGGACGACAAATTTAAGAAGAAGAAAATGTCGAAGTTCGCTGAGAAACTGGTACCGGATGACACTGTAAAGACTTTGATGGAGGGCATCAAGCGAAAATGCGTTCAATTTTACACTCAAGGCTCCATCGATTAACTTTTCTTTTGATTTTTGAAGTAAATATATGTATAAAACTACCCTAAAATTTTGATTCTAAACATTATAAGAAAATTGGCATGACATTTTCGGTGTCGCAATAATTTCGTGTTCGCCCTTTATTATGAAAAATTCTAAAAAATTACGCAAAAAAAGTTTATCCACCCCCAAACGGATACTATGACTTAAGTGTGTTTTATAGAGTTAAAGTGTGTATTCTGCAACTTTATCAAATGTAAACATTGTGACCATCGTGGAACGAAATTGTGCGCGATGAAAAAGAAGAGCTGGAGTACTTCTCGATTACTCGGAATTACCGGTGAACCTGGTAATGGGCTGACCGATCAACCACTTCTCCGTATCACTTCTCAACTCCATGGCACTATTCATCCATAACTATTGATCCATAACGAACCACCTTTGCGTTCGGACGCGCTTTAGCAGAGCTCTTGTATATACTTTTAAATATCCAAACAATTTTTAATCATATTTTAAAAACTGACCCGCGCGAACTCCGTGTTTATTTTAAACGTTTTTTTTTATCATCCGACGCGAGTGCAATGAAGTGCGGAAGAATTTTTTAGAAAGAATTTTTTGCGCAAGAAGAAAGTTAGAATGATTTTAGTGGGTCATAATTTTTTCCCATACTAATTTGACGAAAAACCCGAACAAAATTGAAATCGTTGGCGCGACCTCTTTAACGTTGACCAATTATTTAGCTGATTCTTTGCACAGATGTTTGTTTTTGTGTTATGAACTGAACTAGGGCCTATCAAAAATATCAATCTTTTTCCAGAATGAAACACCCTAATGGACATATGTATAGAACACTTCTAGAAAGAGCTAGAATTAGGGCCTAACAGCTTTTGTAAACAATGACTTCTATCGATGATAAAACGCTGACGCTGTGCTAAATTTTGAAAATTTTCAAAATTGACGCAGCGTCATGTTACTGTTTTGTCACATCAGCGTAATCAGAAGCGTATGTTGTGCCGTGTTGCTTTGAACACATCATGGAAAACATTGTTAGTAGGAATTTGCATTTGTAAGAAGGGCCAACCCCAATTCCCAAGCAAATGTCAGTGATTTTTTTCAATAAAATCGAGCATAAAATACAACTAGTGAAATAGCTTTGTAGACAATTTAAACTATTGCAATGTTTTATATATCCTTTAAAAATATTGTGTAAATACATGTTTGGCCAACACATTTCGATTAACGTATGCAGATCGTGTCGCATTGTTGCCTCTCTGAAGGGCCGCAGAGTTAATACTGTGACATGCGCAACTCACATGTCATGAATTTCCAAAAATCATTTCAGTTTTCAATTAGTAACAAACATTTTCCCATGCCTCACTCGGACATCGAACTCCTTACGCAGCAAGTGCATGGAGTAGTTCGATGAACGCTAAAACAAATTCAATAACCCATACTCGGCGTCTAAGGGTATCGTATTGCTTGTCGCCAAGGCGCACTCTGGGCAACCGATATTCCTAGTTGCTAAGCCGTTTTCAGCGCAACCGACTTAACCAATTTGCCTTCTCCAAATTCTTTCTCTCTCTCACTCTTTCATTCTCTCGTTTGTTAATATCGATCGCTGATTGGTGATCGTGTACATAAACTGTCACATAATGACTTCAGGTGTCTCCCTTGGGAAAAAAAATGTGTTAAGGAATATAATTTTGAATAATAATTATTATTGTTCTAAACGCCAACGAGCACGTTTGTGATTTCAAAAAGATATCACAATCCAGAAGAATCTGTAGGGACAAAGTGTCCCAAACGTAACAATACATCTCAGAGGATCAACTAATGTACGCCATTCACCAGGTTCACTGACGTTCCCATCACCATCCCTCCTGGCTCTGGACAGCCGTTGATTGAAGTTGTCTTGAATTGGAGGTAGATGGTGGATATGGCCGGAGCAAGTTATTCTTAAGAGGAAATGCAGTACCCCCAACAATTAAATACGGCATCACTTCATTTGAGCCTGGCAACTTGCTCGGTGCTTGCAAATCCAACTCGCCATTCACCAATCGCCTCCAAAATTCAGAATGCTCGGACTTTTTTTTTTTAATAAGAAATCTTCTTCAACAAATGATTAAAACGAGATTATGCTAAAGGGTGTCCACGATGAAATTGCCACACTATGAAATTGCTCTAACTTTTTAACCGTTGGGTAGAATTTAATGAAAATTTGGGTGGATTTAGTTCATAGTGCATTATTTACATCCTGCAAGTTTTAAAGTCCTGTGATCAAAACTCGCGGAACTGGAGTCGAAAGAACAGCTCGTGCGTGATAAAATCTTGCGCATTCACCACGAGAACAAGGATCTCTCGCATCGTTCCATCGCTAAAACGTTGGGAATCGCGAATTCCACGGTGTCGCGAGTGATTAAGCGGTTCGAGGGACGGTTGACCACCGATCGGAAGCCCAGAAGTGAAGGAAAAAGTATTCCGTACAACACCAAAAATCACAACCGCGTAGTTGGGGCCTTCAACCGAAATCCGAACGCCTCCGTTAGGGATGTGGGTAAGAAGCTGCACCTAAGCCGAAGTTTTGTCCAGAAGGCCAAAACTAAGGCTGGGCTTCGAACGTTCAAGGTACAAAAGGCCCCTAATCGCGACGAGAAGCAGAACAAGTCCGCCAAAACCCGTGCCAGGAAGTTGTACCTCAACATGCTGACGAAAGTTGAATGCTGCATCATGGACGACGAAACATATGTGAAGGCCGACTTCAAACAGATCCCCGGCAACCTGTTTTTCACGGCCAAGGATAAGTTCAGCGTTCCGGAGCATGTTCGCACTCAGAAGATGTCCAAATTTGCGAAGAAATTCCTGGTTTGGCAAGCCATCTGCACGTGCGGGAAGCGGAGTGCACCTTTCGTGACCCAGGACACGATGAACGGACAGGTGTACATAAAAGAGTGCCTCCAGAAGCGGCTGCTTCCTCTCCTGAAGGCCCACAACGTCCCAACAATCTTCTGGCCGGATTTGGCCTCATGCCACTACTCCAAGGACGTGCTGAAGTGGTATGCGGACAATAAGGTCAATTTCGTGCCGAAAATGTTCAACCCTCCCAACACTCCGGAGCTCCGCCCCATCGAGAAGTACTGGGCGATTATGAAGCAGCACCTTCTTAAACGACCTAAGGTAGTGAAGACAGTCGAGGAACTGAAGAAAGTGTGGGTTTACATGCAAAAAACGGTTGATTCACAGGTTGTGCAGGTTGTGCACTCTAGTATTTTCATTGGATTGAGCCTATATTAATATTATATATCAGATTTATTTATTATCGATGTACGAGTATTGCTTATAACATGCTGAAAGTTTTTCAGAAGTGGGCATCGGTAAACGCATGAACTTTACGAATACTTCTTCTTGGGCCTATCCAGTTTTTAATCATCTATCGGATGTATACACTGAGGCAAATGGACGTGAGAATTCCAAAAGATCCACTTATGAAGCTTCAGTAAGCCTCAATGATGTTATAATACAAAACAAATATTGTCATTGCTTAAAACTTAAACATTAAACAGTCATTCACTTCGGTGAAGCTGTATTTAAACTAAAAGGGTTGTTTATTGTTGTCATAAAACCACAATCAATCCGAGTGGAAGCCAAAAGGATGTTGAATTGTTACTTGGGATACCTTAATTATGCGTCCATTCATATCCCATGGCATCAAAACACATCATCAGAATTTTCCACGAAAATACTTAAACTGCAAACTTCCACTCACTCATTGTACTCTTATGCATGCTCACGGAATATCATCATAATTATATTAATGTCATTACAGGAAACGTCACTACCCATTTGATTTTCACGGTAGCATAGCCCTTATACATCCCATCAAGTCGAGCTTTTAAAAGCAATTTGTTCACTAATGAATAGGAGTAGAAATTATTTTCCCATTCCAGCGAAGTATCTTGCTGTGCCAAAAAACGAACACCACGAACGATGTCAAAAAGTGGTCTCACACCAAGTTGCTCAGCAATTCAATTAACAGTCAGCAATATGCAGATTTTCACCCCACCCACACTTCCACTTCAAGCCTGGTGCCAAACATTTGAGTACTGTCCAAACCTAATGAATCCGACTTTGCAAGGATTAGTCTGTTTCCCGAGACGACAAAAAGCAATGAATCAAGCCGCTGAATCACTTAACGCATACCAACGCTCGAGATTAGCAAAATTTGCTTGCCTAATCAGTAAATAAAGGGCAGAAAAATGGAAATCGATTGGCTCTAGGGTGTTTTGCTCAGTCCGGATACGGTGCCGTATGCTGCTACGCTTTTGGTACAACAGCTGTGAGCTTTTGACTATTGAAGTCTTAACTAACGGCTCTGCATGGCGGAATCCCTGAAAGTTATTATTTAATTACCGCTGTTAAAATACTTGATTTGCATAAATTTGCATCGAATGAACGGAACTGAAAAGGAAGGAACCACCGATAGGTGATACGAAATTCAGGTGAACTTAAATTTGAACTGGGAAATTTAGTGGTAGCTTATTTTTTAAAGAACTTACTTTTGATGCTGAGTCTGAGAAATCTGAAAAAAAGATCGAAGATTTCAAATTAGATTGATATATATTGACGTTATTTCTACTTCTAAATGTAACCGTCTCGTAGGTGTATGAAAGGCAGTACCAAAAGGCTAAGTTTAATACAGGATTTACTATTCGAATAAATTATATCTATATCATCAGTTTTAGGAAAACATCAGTTTTAATACGCATACAGGTACCATCAACGAGACAACTAAAAATAAGGACAGTGTTTATTATTTTATTTGGATTCATCACGCACAGATTGGAACACGTTGGTTACTGGCGGAGATGAACCAGCGTCTGGCTGAAAATCTCCTTAATAAAGACAACCAACCAACCAACCAACGTTGGTTACATCACCTTGGGACATGCTTCTTGCTTGCATCCAGTGATGCAAAATATCATGACACTCACGTGAGAGTCACCACCACATCAACCAACAATCGTTACTATTAGAATGTATTGCCCCGCAGTGAGAGGTACAAGCATGACTAGTGATTGTCACCAGTGATAGTGGCTGCTCACAGGCAAAACGAAACCCTTGCTGCTGATTATGAAAACCACAACGGAAAGAGTGAAGACTTGCACAGTACGATGATGAGATGAATGATTGTCAACATTTTATTAGGGTGGAACTGTAATTGTAAATAATGACTTCTACCGCCAATTTAACGCATATAAAAGCTCACTCCTGCAAATTAACAATTCCTGCTGGTAGAGTTTAATTGGCATGTGTAAGCTTATATTCGACGGCTGAAGCCAATGTATACAAAGCAATTCCGCCCTTTTGAAATGTTGGCACTGAAATATTCATTCACTGTTTGATGCCGCCGTGATTTCTAGGAATGGCGTTCTTCCTCGTGCGACGATTTTATACCGTAATCGAGACGCTACCGAATCAGGTCCACTACAGAAATCAGCTCACTAAATAGACGAAAGATACGTGATGGCAGTGGCGTAGCCTGGTGGGAGCAAAATAGGCAATCCATCTTCTGAGGGGTGACACCCAAAAAATACACGTCCAATACCAAAAGCATCTCTATGAATCACATCAAAAAATAAGGAATATTACATGGCATGTAAACCAAAACAATTTTAAAATTACATCGCTCTAAACTATCTTTTAATTTAATGTTACATTAAAAATCATGCACATAATAAAATCATGATAAAACTCATAAAATTTCACGTTTATTCGATTAATTTTCTCTTGCAGTGTAGTATCACCACGTGATGTAAAAACTTATCGAAGAACATCGGATTTTCAACGATAAAACCTATAAATTTACATTCTCGTTTAAATTTAAATCAACAAACATTAAGAAAGCTAATATGGCGGACGAACCGATTATTCGATCAGTTTTTTCTCCGCTTGGTTTGTTTTGTTTTGTGCGCTCAGTTTTGGTTATGTGGATTGATTTATCGTGCATACGCGCGTCCACAAATAGAAAATGGATGACAGACAAAATATTGATTAGAGCGGTTTTATACAGAGAGCGGCTTTATACAGAGAGCACTTTTAGTTCTTGCAGAAAATATAAAAAATTGGATCTGGAAAAATAGAAAAACATTCAAAAATGCGCTCGTTATTCCTTTTTTTGTCCTGACTGAACATTTTAATGCAGCGGTGAAAGTGTAGGGTATGTACTATGCCGTGAAGGCGGGATATTCCGCGTACTTGACAATCAGTTCGATTTTATGCAAATTCGTTCATAAGGCGAAATGCGTGTAATTCTAAATGTCCTGTAAAATTACAAGGTGAGCCCATCTAAAGAATTCCATGTAAAATTCAAGTGACGTTAAGTTTTACATGCATGTAAAATTCAAGTCGTGTTAAAAGCAGATTAATTTTACATTAATATACATGCTCTTTTTATGTGCATGGAAATTCGTATAAAATTACAAAATAATTTGAACTGTGTACTTTTTGCATCGATTGTATAAAAGTTACCGAGTCAAATCAAAAAACGAGTTTAAAACATTGATTGAAAATTATTGAAAAAGCCAGTCATGACTATTATTGACTGGCAACTAATATGGATTTGAAACTGTAATGTTGATGTAGTTAAACAATAAAAAAAAAGTGTTTAAAACTAAAATATCAAACATTGTCCTTGTTCAATTTTTTATAAATATTTTTTATTTTCATTAAAAAGCATTTGAAAAATGCAAATATTTTAAACATTGGAAATCTTGGACACTCAAAAATTGACAATAATCGCAGAACAACAACTTTTGGTCAAACAATTTTTTTTTCAATATTTTATTTGTTAGGCTCAAATGTACAAAAGGAGTTCATGGAGCCGAGAATAATTAAATCATTGAATGATTACATTAAAGTATTAAGAGGAATATAATTTATGAGTTCTTCTTACTCTTTCTTGGAGGTGACTTGAGTTCAGATTCCACTTTAATCCGTGCCCTCAACTCCCTTGTTTCTGCCAATTTTTTTCCTTCAACTTGGCCTCCTCTTCGTCCTTTATCCGCTTCTTCTCGATATAGTCCACTATCTCGAATTTGTAGTAGTAGTAGTAGTACGCATCGCTTTTGCACTTGAAAACTTGCTCCACTGTTCTTCTCGGCGTCCACGTCCCCGGTGGTTCGCCTATTTTCCCCCCACCAGGCTACGCCACATCCATCACCTCCACCTCTTTCTTCCAGGACCTCAACTGCTTCCTCGTTGTACTGGATGCTTCTGGTTTTTCCGCTTGTTCAGCAATCCATCCGATGTCTCTTCAAAGGAAACACAAATTGTTCATCTCTTGATAGAATATGTTCACCTTTCGATTGAGGAAATGCAGCGAGTTAGGAATCTCCGTTTTAACATCCATATATAGACCCCGGACACGCTTCACATCACCATACTTCCACAGCACCACCGGTAGATCATTATCTGGCAATTCTAGTGGGAGATCATATACTCTCACGTATTGAAAGCTATCCCCAACAGGTGACATACGTACCTCGACTGACCTCTCATCGGCATAATGGAAAATAAATTATGGTTTAGGGTTGTGTAGCAAACAATAAAGCATCGAATCCTCTAAAACAAACTTGATGAATATAGATTTGTCCTCCGCTATGCAATATGTAGCGGTCATCTGAGTTGGATCCGCATCCAGCGATTTCACAAAATTCGCAATGCCTTCCATGGATGGTTTCACCGATCCATGTCCCAACAAACATTTATTCAGGCAAAAATAAGCATTTTCAAATCAAAAGAGGCTTATTCAGCCCATAATCACTAACTGTTTGTTGGGGTGGGAAGCTGAATCTTGAGGTTAGTTTTATTTTCACCAAAATCTTCAGAAGTTGTTTGCTTCCACAGTAAAAGCGAACGAGCTACAAACAATGAGCACACACCACAACAATGAGTTGCTATCTAAAAACTGACTATCGCCCCTAGTAACCAATAATAAATAAGTAATAAATAATTTGCAAAAAGGGTTTTGTCCTGTACACCAATTCTATAGTAAGGTCGCACTTCTATGAAAGTTAATTCTAAAGTCAGGTCTTTATGAAAGTTATTTTTAAAGACAGGTATGAAAGTGTAATGATTTATCAGCAATAGTAGTAGTATTGAAGCTGTTTGACGAATTAAACCTAGTCCTTCTGCGTGAGAACCCCAGCGCCTACTGTTGGAGTTTTCAGTGCCTGCTGACTGACTTGAATACGAAACACAACACATTGATGAATTTTAAAGTGGTTTTTGCCAGCATGGTATTCCAACACACTTGTGGCGCAGTGCTTGGCGTTCGTAGATCGCATGCCGAATACACAGGTTCGAATCCAAGAAATTGCTCTTTAATTTTTTTTTATGTTTGGATAGAAAATTGATGCACTGCATAAATATAAGAATTAAGATATATTTGAGCCACTGATCATTTCATATTTACGTACATTAAATTTTGTTAATAATAAAGACTTGCGCGGATTGCTTCATGTGGGCTATTTTTTAGAAACTTTGAAGTTCCTAAGAAGTTCCACATGGAACTTGTTCGGTACTTTGTTCTGGCCATGTTTTCAGCCTTGCCTAAAGTTCCTAATAAGTGCTTAGGGATGCTTTTTGCAACTTTTTTTGAACTTCAAGTTGCTTGGAGTACGTATCGGAACGTATCTTGAGCATTGTTGTAGGTATGTCTCTTAAATTATTCCATTAATGCCAATAATGCAAAAAAAGTCATGTCGCAAACTTATAGCTTGTCAAGTTTATATGTAACTTGTACTATTATTCTCAAAATATCAAACGTTAAATGACGTAGCATATATTCAAGACATCCTCTCCTTCCTTGTAGCTTATTTTCCAACACGATGTTTTGTCATTAATGCATGGTTTCTAACTACATTTATATGGATTTATTGTTGGTTTACTTCTCAAAATATTTTATGCAATTAATTTCTCAAACAACATCTTGAATCCCATTAAAACCATTATCAATAATGTAAATAATACAGTCCAAACACCAATTGACCAAGCCAGACCTGAACTACCAAAACCAAAAAGCAGCTTGAATGTAAGTTTTAAGAGCTTAGGTATCACTAAACGTTAAAGTAACCACAAGAGCATACTTCTACCGTTCTTCCTTATTCTCAACTTTTTAAACACTCAAGTACCCCACCAAGAAGTCACACGCTAAGAAGTTTTTCTTCGGAAAAGCAAAATCAAGCTACGAGAAGTAAATATTGCCCCCACCTTTTCCCTGTTTGCACGTGCTGAAAACAGCTATCCGATGTCAAAACTGCAACAGCACCACATTGTAGCAGCACTCGAGCTACACCCAAGCTTATGTTAATAGTCAAGTATTTACCCATATATGTAGCGAGGTACATACATATCGCCACTCCACAAGTGCTCATATACTGGGAGAAATTGGGGTGGCTGAAACACCAAAACCGATACCGATGACCAAACTCATTCCCGCATTATGCACTCGAAGAGAAAGTTGGACCACTTTTGCTGCTAGAAGGATGTCCCCGATCGCAATAGGAACCAATTTTAGTG